AGGTGTGTGGTTCAGGGGTAGAGTACTTGCCTAACCTTTGTGAGGGGCAGAGTTCTGTCTCCAGCACTGAAGAAATCATTCTCAATGAAACCCTAACATAACTCTGTATTTCAAACAGAAAACCACTCTTTCCACAAATATTTACCAAGCCCTCGTGCCTGAGGAAAGAGACTTAAAGAAAACGTGATCTGGTTTTAGAATCCCCTCAGAAATAGCTAAAATCATGAATTATGCTAAGAATAAACAGCCCTTACCTCACCTTCAGCTTGACCATCTGATAGCTGGTAGCTGAGGAAGACACTCTGCTTTATTTTTTTTATTTTATGTACATTGGTGTTTTGCCTACATCTGTTTATGAGAGTATATCAGATACCCTGAACAGAAGTGTGAACTGCCATGTGGGTGCTAAGAATCTGAGCCATCACTTCAGCATTTTTATCCCAAGACATAGTCTGTGTGTAGCCTTGGCTGCCCTGGAACTCTCTGTAAACCAAGATGACTCAGAGATCCACCTATCTCCGCCTCCCAAATGCTGGGATTAAAGGCATGTGCCACCACTGCCCACATTTTCTGTGCTTTGAAGCTGAGTTACCAGCTTTTCTCATCCCTGATCACCTTAGTTCTTCTCAAGCAGATCAAAGGGTGAAGTAAAGATACTGCTCCCTAAAAAACACAATTTCAATTAATGGGCTTTCTTTCAAGGGCCCATTTTACCATGACAGAAGCAAGTTTTCTTTGTTCTCATTTGAATTCTAAGCAAGGTTCTTGAGAAAATTATGTCCTATGGCCATCTTTCTCTCTTATGAGCAGAGAGGACGTGAGTCTTCACCTGATGGCTTTATAATCTATGTGGGCTAACAATCTGTCTCTTCTGCTGTCAGACTCCACTACACTTGTGAACTGGTTGGCTGTATAATTGCTGTGAGCACAAACACAATATTAGGTACCAGTTAAAAAGAACGGCCCTCCCAATTCCTGCGATCCTGTGTACACAGCTACCTACAGCGTGGCACCTTTAGTGAAAAGTTCACAAGAACAAGCTCACCATAATAACAATACTTGAGGCTTGAGGTAGGACTACTAGGTCGAGTTTATCAAAAAAAATAGGAGGGAGAGATTTGGTTTCCAAAATTACAAGATTTACACTGTCATGAGAAATAGTCCTCTAAACAAACCTGGGAATCCAATGTATTCGTGGTCTTTACTTTTTTAGTATGTTCAGTCAGCAAAGTTGCTTTGCTCCTTTCACAGTGTGCTTGACTCAAGCACTGCATTACCTGGGCCAATGAGGTCCTAGCTCATGTGCTTCCCGAGCCATGGATGCAATGTTAAATCATGTGTGCTCTCACTTCCCTCGCTTGCTTGCTTGCTTGTTTGCTTGCTTCTTGCCCAGGCTGGTCTCAAAGTCCTGTGCTCAAGAGATCCCCGAGTAAATGAGGTACAGATAAATGCATGTGCCATTTATCACAGACAAACTCGGTGAATACTAAGGGGTAAGTACATAAAATTCCCTTTACAAAGGAAGAGAAGAATTGGGACTAGTAAAACATCACTTTTATTTTTATGCTGATATTTGGGTAATATATAAAAGGCATTATTAAAGGAATACTCTTAAAAGAAACACTGGACTGGAATCTTAACCAAATCTGAATCATTACTGTGTTCCCCAACAATCCCATCAAGAAACAAAACTGTGTAGTTGAAAGATTTTATAGTAGTTTATATTTGCACACAAATTCTGCCACAGTGTTCAGTGTCACCAAACTAAAATTTTTTACCTTTTCACTAAAAATGAAAAACCCATCTGTCATCTGTTCCCAGAAAAAAACAGACTGTTCTACAAAATCAGCTGATTTAGGCAGATAAGAACTGACACTTGAAAGATAGTCTTTCCAAGCTGCCAATTCAGCAAATGGAGACCACTCCAGGAATATGGTAGGACCAAAGAATATGAGGAGACCCAGCAGAACTGCCACCATGAACAACTGGTAGGAGTGCCAGGGAATCTTGCTAATGAACACACCTGTGTCTTGAGGCAAAGAAAGTTTATCCACATCGACTAGTTTAATGTCTTCCCACTGACTGGTATCAAAGTTCTTCATTAAAGGGCTTGTGGGCAAATTAGAGGGTAGCAAAGGAGTTTCCTTGATTACTTTGATTTTCTCCCTGAACTCCTGCATCTGTTGCAAAAATATAATAGGTTCTGACACGTCTTTAAAAGCCTCAGCAATGTTAAAGGCCATCCGCTGCTCCTGTAAAATAGTGTTGAGTTTGTTGATCTCTGGGTCATAGGATTGCATAACTGCAAGCTTCATCGTCTCAAAGTCTGACAGGATTTCATTCTTCTTTTGATCTAATGTGTGTTGTAACTTCTCAAAAAACTCCTTTACTTTATCTGAATCTTTAGTGAGTAACTGTAGGGATTTCCTTTTGTTTGTTTCCAAAGTATCCAAGCGGGAAAGAGCATCTCCCCGATGCCAAGTCTCAAAACTCTGAAAGAGGGACTCAAAGGCATCCCTTTCCTGAGCATAGGCATCTTCAATAGAAGAGAAGACATGCTTAGTGTGATCGCCACAAGTAGCGCACATCCCACAAATCAGCTGCCTATCAGTCACACAGAAAATGTTGAGAGGTTGTCCCAAGTGTCCTTTGCACACTGGCATTTTGGGAGAAATCTTGATTTTGTTATATTTCTCTACAATGCCCTTTAGGGAGTAATTAACTTGTAGACTATTGACTCCAGTTGCTGAAGTTTCCTTACGGCAAGTAGGACATTTGAATGGAGATGGTCTCCACAATGAATTCCGCACATTCCCCTCTAAGAGCCCTTCTAAACATTTTTTGCAGAAGTTGTGTGAGCAGGGCAAAACTCGGGGATCATCAAACAAACTGCAACAAATTGGGCACGTGAGGTCTTCCTCAAGCAGCTCCATCACATCCTGCCACAGAGAAAGAAATGTTTAGCTCTGGTAAGCCTCTCTAATAACAAGACACCATCTTCCCAATAGAATCATCTCCTGTTGACATAATCAAAGCATATAGGGAAGAAATGCATACTAACGCATATTTAACTCTGGGACAAGAACACACTCCTGTACACAAAGCCTTTGTGAGGGCTTCCCAACAACAGCCTTTGCTAAGACAGGGTTAGCACTGGGACAACTGCAAACTGAGCCAACAGGACCCAACATTGTTTTAAACAGAGCTGACTACTAGATGTCAGAAACAAAGAGTCCCAGTGTCTGTAACAGAATGGTCTCTTTACTTTGGGCCCACAACTATGAAATGGTATGCTACTTAAAGACAGAAGCACACAACATAAATCCAAGCATGGATTCTAGTCCAACTATTACTGGAAATTGGCATTTTTTCCAATTTCAAAGACACAATTACAATTATTTAACAGAATCATAGTTTAAAAAGCACCAAAGAACTGTAATTCAACCTTGCCTGCCTAGGGAATTAAATGAGCTAGATTTTTGCTGTTTGGAAGAACTCTTTTTTTTTTTTTTAAAGATTTACTTATTATGTATACAGTGCGTGCCAGAAGAGGGGAACAGATCTCATTACAGATGGTTGTGAGCCACCACGTGGTTGCTGGGAATTGAACTCGGGACCTCTGGAAGAACAGTCAGTGCTCTTAACCCCTGAGCCATCTCTCGAGCCCGGGTGGTTGATAGTTTTTAAACAATTAAATTCATCCTATATCCTTTACACTACCACGGTAATTCTCTCTATGACGGGCAGAAACCTAAATGTCCCTTTTTCAGAGAATTGGTGAAGCCAAAAGCATTTCATAATGATGTGCCTGCCATGCTGACTGATATTTGCACCAACTGCCAAAGCAACAGAAGGTATATTCTGCTGGAACTTTTTAACAGGAATCAAGCAAGGCTGTAAGAAGCACTGAGCTGTACCACACTACTCAGTGTTCTTTAGCACACAAGAGGGGAAGGGGAAGGAGCCACTTTCAGTGAGAAGTGCCCTTAGCCAAGCTGACTAAAGCACACACCCACAATCCCTCAATACTCAGAGAAGGAAGGATATGAATTCAAAGCAACATGGCTACAAAGCAAATTCCACCCCAGTCTGGACTATGAGACCCTATTTCAAAAACAAATAAATAATAAAATCCCGATGAAACAGCAAAGATTACTCGTTTGGTCAAATCCTGATTCTTGTATACATGCCTTTTAAATATGTGTGGTAAAATAAGAACTACAAGAAGCACTCATGCAGGCCAGCAAATGTTATCTAAGGGAGCAGCAGACTCACGTGACTAAGCTACAGGAGAAGCCAGCTGTTTTATTAGGAAAACAATGTAAGCCAGCACTATGCAGATTTAGGTAGCTCACAGACATCTTGAAAACAAGTAAAAATGAGCTTGCTACTTCCAGAACACAGTACTTCCTGACAATGAAAAGTGTTAAAATTTGTATTTTTGCAAATTGTATCTACCACTTGTAAGCTTCCCATTAAAGATTCTGATAAATGGTGAAGTTAATAAATGTGAAGGCTACTATAAAATGAAATGTCAATATTTGGAGGTCTACAAAACAATAAACTGTTTTTCAAGTCAATATTATAAATCGTTCATAGAAGACTCTTAAAATATTAGAATGGGCTCAAGTGTAGCTCACTGGTAGAACACTTGCCAAGACCCTGAGTTCAATTCCCAACACTGCAGAAATAAAACATAAGTAACAGAAGCGGGGCGGTGGTGGCGCATGCCTTTAATCCCAGCACTTGGGAGGCAGAGGCAGACAAATCTCTGTGAGTTCAAGGCCAGCCTGGTCTACAGAATGAGGTCCAGGACAGTCAGGGCTGTTATACAGAGAAACCCTGTCTCAAAAACAAAACAAAACAAAAGCAATAAATAAAAATGTAACAAAAACAGGCTCAAAATAAATATGATCTCATGTACTACAGTATGATAAAAAAAAATACCATTTGTTGAGGTGTGGCACAGTACTGAAGAGCAAGTTATGTCAAAAAGCTACTAAAATATTATCTACCTCCTTTACCAACCACAAATCCAGGTAATGCCAATTTTTTTGTATATGTCAAAGTAACTAGAACAGGGCCAGGAATATAGCTCAGAAGTTGGTAAAAAGCACACTTGACATATACAAGGCCCTAGGCTATTTTAGTGCAGCCCCCCAGGGACTCCCCTAAAGACAGAAAGCTATAGATTGAATGCCACTTCTATCACAATGTAGGAGGGGTATTTTTACTGAATTATTTGGTAACATACAATGATTTTATCAGTGTTATTTTAGATGAGTTAATGTGTTTTAAAGTCCTCAGTTTTCATTTCTAAGTAGAATGAATGCATCATGCATGCATACATACATATATACATACATACATCTCAAAGCTCTTGGCATCCTCAGTCTTGAGGGTGTTGATCACTAATGCAGAAAACACTATTTCTCAGTGAAAATTTGCTAATGAACCTTAATCCCTAAAGACTTAAAACCAAAATAAGCAGTCTTTCTTTCCTTTTCCTGTATAGCCCTAGCTATACTGGAACTCACCCTGTAAACCTGGCCTTGAACTCAGAGATCCATCTGCCTCTGCCTCCCAAGTGCTGGGATTAAAGGAGTGGGCAAACACCACCCAGCTAATCAGTATTTCTTTATTCAAGTTTATTCAGGATACATAAATACTACCAAAATAATAAAATAGGATGGAACACTCTGTACTCTGTGGCCATCAGATAATAATTTGGGGTTGTCGGTAAGGACATGCTGAGCAGAGTCTATCAGTGAGCTGCACGCATGCCCAGCCTCAGTAGTTCTCTCTGTGGGTATGTGCGCAGGTACACACCCACATGCCTGTCAAGGGCCAATGTTGTGGGATATTTGTACACTGGACGAAGATATATTGCTGTGGTTGATTTAATAAAGATGTGAATAGTCAGCAGCTAGGAGGAGGTAGAGGCGGGACTTCTGGACAGAAAAGAGGAAGTTGGAGATGAATCTAGGCACTCAGTACGCAGGCACCAGGAGACGCAGAAGGATATACATACAGCATTTAACAGAACAGAGATGAATAGAAATGTTATTTAAGTTATAAGAGCTAGTTAAAAACAAGCCTAAACTAAGGCCAAGCTTTCCTTTTTATTAAGTCTCTATGCCATTATTTGGGAGCTGGTTGGTAGGACAGAGAAAGCCTTGCTACAGGTCAAAGTCAACACTAGGTGTCTTTCCTTGGTCCTCCACCTTTATTTTTTTGCACTGGACTTACTGAAGCTGAAACTCATTGACTCAGCTGGGCTGACTGGGGACTGTTCAATTTCTTTTTTCTTTTCTTAGTGTGTGTAGTCTTGGCTGTCCTAGAACTCACTCTGTAGACTAGGCAGGCCCCAAACTCAGAGATCTTCCTGCCTCTGCCTCCCAGCTTGACTTTTTTGCATTTTTGAGGCAGGATATTGCTACATAGTATGGTAGCCACAAAAATCCTCTTGCTTCAGGCTACTGAATGTTGGGATAGCAGGTATTGTATTGGCATGCCCCCAAGTAGATTCAATAGCTAGTATGTATTAGGACAATCTCATACTAAGTAGCAAGTATATAGTATGTGATTTGAAAATAAGATTAACTAATGAATTGAGAAGTTGCCTTTATGTTTATAATTTTACATTTTATTTGTTTTTTAAAATAGTGTCTCCATATGTAGTCCTAGCTGTCCTGAACTTGCTATGTAGACTAGACTGACCTTGAACTCACAGATATGCTCCTGCCTCTGCCTACCCAGTCCTGGGATTAAAGTTAAGAACCATCACGCCTGGCCTGTAGCCTTTTAAAATAAAAGTACACTTGGGCAGGAGAGGTGGCACAGCAGTGAAGAGCACATAATGCTCTTGCAGAAGACCCATATCAGCTTACAACTTCAGGGAACTCTAGCTCCAGAGGGAACTAGGACTTCTGGTGTCTGAAGGCACCTTCATTTATGCACACACGGACACATAATTAAATATAACAATAATCTTTAAAAAAATGTAAACTTTTCTTGTAAGCATGCCAAGGTAAGACTAGTGGTTCTTAGACCAGTAGGCTTACCATGAGTTGGGGGCTGTGAAGAGTTTATTATTCACTGTCTTAGCTTTTTTATTTTATGTTTATGTTTTTTTTGTTTTGTCTTGGGGGGGCCAGAATTTCTCACTGGCTTAGAGCTAGGCTAAGTAGGCCAGATCGGCTGGCTTCTGTAGTCCTAGGATTACAAGTACATATCACTACAAGTGGCTTTTTGTTTATCAATGTGTTCTGGGAATTCTACTCAGTCCTTTATTCTATAAGCCAAGCACTTTATTGACTTAGTTATTTTCCAAGATCCTCTCCTGAATGATAAATTTAATTACAAATATACATTTTCCCTATCAGTAGTTGTTCTTCAAACACATGATAGTTCACCTTAGGGATAGGCTTCCAAATTGTTTATCTGTCATTTTGTCTGTTTTTAGAATGGTACTGTTTATGTAACAGCTTTATAGCAAAGTTTTAATTAAAACCTCTTAATTTCTAACCATTTCCTTAAATAGTTCCCTTAGAGGCAATACTAGATCAAGGAATGAACCTATCTTTAAAGTGTGTGTGTGTATGTATGTTGCATATGTACCAAGGTAAGAGGGCAATTTATATGGGAGTTGGTTCTCCTCATCTAGCATGTGAGTCCTGTAGTTGGAACTCAGGTCCTGTCAGTGTTAGCAAGCCCTTTACCTGGCTGAGTCAGTTTAAAACTCTAAAGATGGCCAAGAGTCTTTCTAAAGAGGGTGTGTATAGCTGGGCATGATGGTACATGTCTTTAATCCCAGCACTTAGATTACTCACCTGGATTTAAAATTTAAAACAATTTAAATAAGTTGCCATTAGTATGCATCTAAGTATTCTATATCTTGAGAACAAAAGGGTAGGAATGAAATGAAAGTTATAGATTCAAAACCAAAGTAGCTAGGCCCCTAACTTCATAAGTAAAAACATGGAGCCCAATTTACTTTGCTCTTCCACCACTAAAGCACAAGCATTGAGTTTTCAAAGTTGTAGGATGAAGCACTATCCAGAAAAAACAAATTTTATTTCATAAACTTCTAAAAATCTCTTCTAAAATTCTGGTTTTCATAAACAACTGTTTTATCTTTCATAAAATGAGGATCTTTATATTTCTGAAAAGTACAAATTTCATAAATTTACATAAACCATAATATAAACTTAAACTATTACAAATACTATGGAAATTATAAATACACATTTAAGGGGCTATATTAGAAGATGAGAATAAGCTCAAATGAGTTTAATTCTCCTGGACAATGATTCCAAAGCAAAATCATTGGGCACCAGATATAGAGAAGCATGACCTCAGGAGGGGGCTGAGGCTGAGGAAAGTACCTGCATAATGTGAGAAATTTCCAGCACCACCAAAAATAAGCACACAGATGAAAAGAACAATCTGGTTATTACTGAAAGATGTAACTGTAATTAAGCTAATTGGTACCAAAGTAGATAAAGAAATACATAAATTAAGGAAGTACTAGGGGAGGAAGGAGGCCTGAAGAAATGTATCTTCTGGGGCTTGCCATGTCTATCACTATGATAAAACACTGACTAAAAGCAAATAACCACTTCCAGGTCACAACCCATCAATGAGGTAAATCAGGGCAGGCACTCAAGGCGAAACTGCATGTTATTTATTCCACACAACACTGCCTTCTACCTTGTAACTCACTCACATTCAATAAAGTACAACAGACACCATCAAAAATCCAGTGGACTGCTGGCTGTGCTCTGGCCCATAACAGGCTCATAATTAGCTGGCTTTCTTATAGTGCCCAAGTTAATCTACCTAAGGATAGGGCTGCCCACAATGTGCTGGGCCCTCCCCTTCGATGTAAATTAAGACAGATATATCCGCAGACCAACCGAAAAAAAACAATTAAATTGAGGTTGTTTTCAGGTGATCCTAGGCTGTGTCAAACTGATACTCAGTAATAAGTAGGGTAGAGGTGTGCTTCAGGGGTAGAGTACTTGGCTAGCTAGCATCCCCCAAGATGTCCTGGGTTATTTCCCCAGCACCACATAATTTTAAAACAAACAACAACAACAAAAAACTATGAAAGAGGCATAATTTGCCAACAGCTCATCCAGTTCTAAGCAGAACCAATGCCTATATAATGGCATTGTTTTTAAAATGTCTGACATGCAAAGGTCTAGGGAGCTGCAGGGAACTCGCCCTTCTCCCGCCCCACTACAGGACAACTTAGACAAATCCTACCAAAGAAAATGCTGTCCAATCCCTTTTCTTCCTTTACAGCATAATTGTATTAAATTATGTATAACAATTGCCAAAGAAAGGAACGGCCAGCATGGATTCTGTCTTGAGTTTTGAAATATAAAAAGAACAAAGACCACCTATTACTGATGGAGCGTGGATATGGACATATTCTCTGTAGTCGGATCTGGAATGGTCCCAAGACTAGTAAAATCGGACATTTTTCCCATAAATGCCAGAACATAAAGGAATATACTAATGTTTACCTCTGTCCCCGGCAAGCAGGTGCTTTTGGCAAGGTTACTATTTCTCTGGGAAAAGCCGGTTGTTGTTTTTCCTCCACGTTTTGACTGTAAAACTAGAGAATGCTGTAGAGAAAGGAGAAAGGGTGTTATACACAGAGATCTGCTTTGTTAACCTCCATTTAAAAAATTTTTTTCGCAATCTCCCCTCCCAACAACCCCACCAAAAGAGCCAGCTTGCGGTGCCTCCGCTTCCTAG